CTGCTGCTGCTGTACACTTAATAATGACTGATTTTCATTATTCTCCAGTACTTTATTATTAGAAAAACTATTGTTACGTAAATTACATGAACCTGTATTAGATTTACTATGAAAATGTGTTGTCATTTCCAAGTTACGTTGAAATATAGTTTCTTCTTCAACTTCAATTACATGTGTTTCATTATTTTCATTTAATAGTTCTTCCTTTTGTCCATTTTTAAAAGAGAATGCAGATATATTTTCCTGATGTTTCTGTGAAATTTGTTTCTTCATGCAGATAAATTCTGCTGTTGGAATATCTATTGTTGAAGAAACAAGACTTACATTCTTTTGTAATTCTTTATTCTCTCTTCTCGTCATTGATCTTGTTTTCACACTATTGTCTATAGAATTCAGAAAACATTTTTTCTTAGATCTTGCATCATATGTGAAATTTTCTTTATGGAAATTAGGAACAATAATTTTATTTTCTTCTTTACGATCATTCCTATCACATGTAAGTTCTAAATTACACTGTGCTGAACTTTGTTTTCTTTTTTTTCTTGGTATTGTCAATGTCTTATTTTCAGTTGTTCTTGGTTTTAAAATGTTAAAGTGTTGGACATTTAATTGAACATTGGTCTCTAAATTATGCAGTTCTACTTTCTGCTTTCTTTCTGTTGAATTTTTTCTAAGTAAATAGTTATATGAAGTTGCTGCATTATTCTTTTCTTTTTGAGAATACTCAAGTACCGCATCTTCTGATTTTGTTTGTACTATGTCTCTTTGATTTCTTGGAAATTTATTTTTTTGGTTCTTTTTTAAATTTGTTATATGCCTTTGTCTTGAAAGTTGTTTAATTCTATGATAAATGTGTTCTTTTTGACATTCTAACAGATCTTTACAGGTTGAAGAATCGGTATATGAATTGCTATTACCTAATTTAGAATTACAACATGAGATAGTCGTGTAATCCATAGATGATGAAAAGTTGTCTAGATTTTTATTATAACTAGCATCAGATATGTTGGATGCGTCATGTATTTCATGAGTTTGTGTATTTAATTCTGTGTCACAAACATTCGGCTTTTTTAAGAATATTTTGTTCTTTTTCTTTGTTTTCATATTATTTAATAGATCTTTGTTATTTAAATTTAAAGCATCCTGTTCTTGAAATATTTTGATTCCATTGTGATTTTTAGAATTGTACAAACATTTTTTATGTAACAGGTTTAAATTTTTCTTAGGTATCTTATATGGTTTCAATTGTTTATTGAATTTTGATTTTATAATTTTTGTCATTATGAATTTGTGGTTAATAATTTCTTTCTTTCAATATCAATAATTCTATTATCTCAAAAATGGTTTTATATTAATAAATTTCTGTAGTCTCCATACAAATGTTTTACCCTCTTCACATATGAAGAATCTAAAATAACATACATACTTTATTTATTCATTATTACTTAAAAATAAATATTATTATTTTACATATCACATTGATAAATATCGTCTCTTAATTATATTGAATTTATATTATATTTAAGTACAAATTTTTATTATTTCTTAAATATAACGTACCTATCTGTAGTCTACGAAAAATCACGTTCTATCATTTAAATTCTTGAAAAAACATAAACAGATAAAAATAAATGTTTACCAGTGTAAGACATTTATTTGTCTTGAAGGAATTTGAATCATAATTAATGTACTTGATTACTTGTTCATTAAAAAGAGTAAATCTTTCCTTCGCCTTTTTGTTTATATTCAGTCGTAACAATTCTGCCACCAAAGAAGTTCACACTATCAGGTATAGACGTCTACCTTCACGGTATAAGTTCGCATCACAGAACTGATAAACTCATAGCAGAGGGTATACTGCTAAATATAATGCTGTTTAATTATATTCTTATCACTTGAAAAACGTTATAAGGAATAATATTCAATCTATATTATCATCAGCACTACTAAATCTTGTAATGTAAACAGAAATATTTTATGTAACCTCTTTGTAGTGTGTTGTATTTTGCTTCAATATTGAGATTTGGTAATAAATGTGACCAACAAAGATTTATTTTTCACATTGCATTATTAATATTTTATTATTACACTAATTATCCTACAAGTGTTTGGTCAGGTAAAAGCATTTGATTAAGTAGATTTCTCATTAAAATGTTTCATATATTTCGTTGTAATTTTTGCAGGTTATACCAAGAAAATGTATATAATATACTATATTTATATTTTCATAATTATCTTTATTACAATTCTTACAAGGATTTGTTTTATGATATTTTCTACATTTAAGACAGAACGAGTACAAGCTGCTTTCATGAAACGTGTAAAAACAGTAATAATATTAGGGTCTGGTGGACACACTGCTGAAATGATAAGAATCCTTAATCATTTAAACTTAAAAAATTATTCACCACGAATATATGTACACGCTGATACAGATGTGATGAGTGTAGAGAAAGTAAAGGAATTAGAAAAAGACAATAACGATTATAAAATAATAAAAATTCGTAGAAGTAGAGAAATTCATCAGTCATATTATACATCTGTTTGTACTACAATCTATGCAATATTGGAATCCATACCACTTTTATGGACAGAACGTCCACAATTACTTTTATGTAATGGTCCAGGCACTTGTGTCCCATTATGTATCATTACATTCCTGTTTAAAGTGTTTTATATTACACAAACTACTATAGTATTTATTGAAAGCTTTTGCAGAGTGCAAACATTATCTTTAAGTGGAAAAATTTTATATTACATAGCTGATTATTTAATTGTACAATGGCCATTATTAAGTAAACCTATGTATAAAAAGGCAATTTATATATGAGTAAAGTAATTTTAACACAATATTTATTTTTTTTTTCTTTTAGCAATATACCTCCATTGAATCATGTGTGATAATATGTTCCTTATAAGAATGATTCCATGGGAATTAGTAGGAACCGTGCAAGATTATTTACCCACTGAGATGAAAATACATTTACTACCAATAATAACACAGCTAAGATCATGCAGTGAAAACAAAAAGTAAATATAAATGTATTTACAAATTTAGTTATATTTAAAAGTATATACATAATGAATATACATGCAGCTGGTCTTTGTATAAATTAACAAAATCAATTGGAAAGCAAAATAAAATTTTATTTAACTTTAAATTAGTGTGCAATCTTGTAAACAATAGAACAAATATAAAAATTTTACCTGAGGCAAAACATGTTAATACTTTTATAATTATATATCTTCTTTTTTTGTAACAGAGATTTATCAAAAAAGTGGGTAAACAGTTCACTAATTCTAATTGAAGCATGTTTGGATAGAACATGGGAAACATTAAATTCGGGTTATTGGAATCATGTTCCAATAGCATATAGATATTGTTATTCATTATGTACTATTCTAAAGGTATTTTAATATGTAGATTTGTACACAGGATTGTGACATGATGAATATTGTATTAAAGATTGAAATTGGGATTTAACAGGCTGTACTACTTGAAATTCAATATTATCACATAGATGAGAAAAAGGTCACAAATAATGTGACTTTGTTAAAAAATATTGTTCAACAAATTGATAAAGGCATTTTATTGGGGTCACCATTACCAGATATGCCTGATTTATTACCTACAATTGCATCACAGTTAAATACTTGCAGTGTCAGTAAGTATAATATAACAAACATGTAACTAATATAATAAATTGTTTATAAAATCAGTATATTGTACATGCTTAGTACAATATTTTTTTAGCAGACGTATTGGAGGCATCAACTTTGAAAGAATTAGTTAATGGTTTTGAAGAATTAGTTGATACAGCACTTTATGACTTTACTAACATTGCTGAATATAATGAACCTTCAATGGAATTATTTTATAAAGAATGTTTTATGCCTAAAGTTCCAGCATTACTAAAAGGTGATATAATTTTTTTTAACCATAAAATATTAAAGATTATATTTCATAAAATTAGAAAATTAAGTTATTATATGTATTTTATAATTCTAGGCTGTATTAAACATTGGAGGGCTTTAGAACAATGGCAAAATATAAATTATTTAAGTAAAGTAGCAGGACATCGAACAGTACCTATTGAAATTGGATCACGTTATAATGATGAAAACTGGACTCAGCAACTTATTCTTTTTTCAGAATTTTTAGAAAATTATATATTATCAAAACATAATAACATTGCTTATTTAGCTCAACACAACCTTTTTGATCAGGTTTTTATGTATTTTTATGTAATTTGATTAAATTAATAATACTTTCATGAAAATCGTTAATAATAACTGTACGGTAACAATTCTAGATTCCTGAATTAAAAGATGATTTTACAGTACCCGAGTATTGTAGTTTTACAGACAATGAGGATGTGGAACAACCAGATATAAATGCTTGGTTTGGACCTTCTGGAACTGTTTCACCATTACACTTTGATGCAAAAAATAATTTTTTGTGTCAGGTACAAAAATTAATCTCTTAAAAAAGTTAAACAACAACTGAAGGTTTCTATTTGTAAAAACAGATATTTGCATTTTAAGTTACTGTATTCTTTTGTTGTCTAGGTATTTGGATATAAGAGGGTAATTTTATATGATCCTAAAGATTCATCTAACTTATATCCGTATGACACAAGGTTACTCAATAATACTGCACAAGTAGATCCTTTCAATCCAGATTTTGAGAAGTGGCCAAATTTTAAGAAAGCCACAGGGTTTATGAGCTACTTGAAACCAGGAGAAATGCTTTATATTCCTCCAAAATGGTGGCATCATGTAACTGCTTTAACTCCAAGCTTCTCAATAAATTTCTGGTGGAATTAAGCATAATTAGAAAACTTCTTAATGTAACCAAGAAATAAATAAGTTACTTATAATTTGAATAACAGATTTATAAAGTTAACGCATCTACACAGTAAAAATGATTATTTTATTATAAAAATTGAAAAGTAATGCTGTATATATAGATAGTATTTAATATAAAGAAATTTTTTACATGTACATGAATTATTTTTTTACTTATGAATGCATGTTTATATATTGATCATGAATAAAAAATATGTAGGTTCTTTATCCACATTTGGTAATAAAAAAATATATGTCTTTGTTAAGTATGAACTTCTTATCAAGGAATTGAAAATAAATCTTAGTTTTGGTACAAGCAGGAACTTTTAATGAGCTAATTGACGTTAAAAGCGTGTCTATTTTGTTAATTAAGAGTTGAAGTATTGGGGAGGTTGCACTGCCGGTAAACTAAGTGGTTTCAATCGTATCTGTATGCTCTTCTTGTAACATGCAAGCTGATTTTTCTGTTAAAAATTAAACCTAATTAACACGTTTAAATAATTTAAATAAAATACGTACACATACAAACCGCTATAGCAAATGTAGCACAAAAGCGTGTATGAGAATAAAACACAATGCTATAAATAACATCTGACCTACGTTTTCAGTATGGAGCGTAGGAAATATACGTATATGCAAAGTCTGTCAAACGAAACACACAGTTATTATTTGGGAATGACGACAGAGGAAGCATTTCCACCGATCATTAGGCTCCAGGTAAAAATGTGTGCTATAATATTTATCTAAAGATTCTTGACATGTTCGCATTCGCGTTTATATATTGTAATTTATTCGAGATATACGAAACAATGTTTTTCTACATTTGTGTTATATAAAATCAAATAACTGTCTCACTTTTCTAAGCAAAAGTCACACTCGAGAAATAATATCTGTCACTATTATATCTTTGTGAATGAAAATTTATGACGAAGAAAAATCTTCAACAGTATATTTTCTTAAGGAGTGACATAACGATAAAATATGAAATATATATTTTTCAAAGAGACTAAGTAACATATCTAATATGATAATATAGAATTTCAATTTACTGTAATACAGTAGTTATACACGTATCTCGTAATATTGGCTATATTCCAATATTTAGGAAGTTCATAAATATTTTTAGATAATCCACATGAGTAACATATTAATTCAGATAGTAAAATTTTAGCGTAAAGGAGATCTATCGTGCGTAACAATATACTTCATTGTAGAAAAGCGAGAAAAAATAGAACGTTTGAAATATTTTTGAAAATACAATGCGAACGGCAGAAGTTCGTACAATTTACATTATCGTCAATGACAACATTTACTCTAAACGTTTTTGTTTTGAGCAAGACACGTCACTGCTTGGTGCTTTAAAGCGTACTATTCGATTAAATGTAATAATACTAATAAACGACTATTTACTCACTGCATTTTATAATTTCCCTTAACCCGTCACAAATTTCTTGACAATTTTAATTGAAGAACTATCGAATTTAAACCACATAGAAAGTCTTACATAGCATTGGAATATCATAAAAGGAAGAAACGTTAATAAACGCTAATGAAAATATTATAAATATATGTAGCTGAACATTTTTCGTTCTGTACCTATCTGGCATTACTAATCTAAAATAATATCATTCTGTGAAGCAGTATCGTACTCAAAATGTGTTAATAATAGAATACAATTTCTTCATTACCGAAACAACGTAAACAAGGTCCTAAAGTACATCTCATTCTCACAAATTCAATTAAACTTCGGATGTACTAAACGAATGATGTGAATTAAACAATAACTCTCCTTCCGACTAATCCGATCAACAATTAAACAAATACTCTACAACATTTCCATCCTCAATTCCCCAAAAATCTCACAATCCATAACAAGCAATCATACTTCAAAAAAACCCACAAACTAGATACAATTTCATCTCCAATCTACGCGAACAAAGGTAACGCGAACAGCATGCAAGATGAACAAAGAAATGACAAAATCAAAAGTCCCTTTCATCGTTTCCATCCTCTCGATCTCTCTCGAACGGCAGAACCGATTGTTTATCGTTCGCTCGGTCGGTAATTCGCACATGCCGGTGCCCGGTACGATCTTCTGCGTACTCCTCCGCCGCGCAAAGGGGGTGGCCGGGGGTGTAACGGGATAAGAACGCGCCGGTCGTGTCGGTTTGGCGCTTGCGCGGCCCCCCGCGATAAAGAACGAGGTGTACCGGTTGACTTCACACGGGGTAAACAAGGACAGCCGTCTCCGGGACGGGGGTGAGAAAGGCGGCGATGCAACCCCTGTTTTTCCCGTAATCGTTGCCGCTCGATTCTGCGCCTTAGTCGGCATACGGGGCGGCTCCTATACTCCTGTTTGCGTTTAGCGTTACTCCAGGAACGCATGAATGGTGTTTTAACGGGCGACGGGAAATACCGAACGGGGGTGAGAGTTTTCTGCGTCCGGTGGCCGCTGGACGGTTGAAAGAGAGATTCTGGAGGGCAGCGTCTCGGCGTAATCTCGTTAAGCACGATGGTCACGGACAATACTAGCCAGGTAGGGGTTGTTCTGCATGGTTTTTGCGCGGAATCGCCGGAACGTTGCCGGTCCCTCCTCGTTTCTCTATTCGCCCGGGACCCGATCGAAGGGTGTGAACCTCGGTTACCGATGAATCGCGAGCGATCGGCCCGACGCGGCTCGAAATCGTATCGATCACCAGCTACGGAGCCGGTAACCCGTAGATTTTTCATGGAACAAAGGCACGGGCAGGATCGGGTAGCTTTCGGGTGTCCCTCGGCGAGCACGACGAAGCTGTAGGAGGGGATGATTACGAGCTAGGAACATGTATATGCGTGAGACTGTTTCATAAGCCGGTATGCTGCTGCCGTATGAATGCTGCAGCAACATCAATCGCGACGTTGCCCATTGAAATCGGCTGTCCTTCGAAGCCACCGAAATGAGCGTCGAAAAATCGAAGCCGATGGTAACGCATTGTTTACGGGGAATCAGAGAGGATTTCCATAGGATCGTTGCGTCGCATTAAAGATTTCTGCGGTGTACTGTATCGAGTACTGCGACTCAGGATGGTTGACGATAATGAGATGCGAAACCGTTTTATGGTAGTCCTCGCGTGACTTCCTCGAGTGACGTCTTTCGGGGCAGGGTTAAATTTGAATTGAAGTAGGGGGATGCGAGAAGTATCGGATTGAACGATGTTCAATGGTAATTAGGTGCGTTGTTAATTGATTCTGGTTTTGTGCACAGGCTGACGACACGACAGCATTCCTTCGCGCTGCTCGGTCTGGAAACCTTGAAAAAGTGATCGAATTCCTCAACACTGAGCTAGATATTAACACAGCTAATTCGGTGAGTGGTAATGCGATCTGTCAGATTCATTGTTGCGCGTTTATCTTTGTCGTCTCTGTCAAGATATCGTCGAATGATTTAGTTATTCAAGTTTACCTTCGGACGCCACTGCGTTGTCTGTAAACATCGGTTTAAGTAGATATAGCATGTAATGGACAGACACGCGAACCAAGTTAAGTGGTACTCGAGCGTGCACGTGCCAGACGAGTTTTTAAGTTCGATCATAATCGAACCTTGAGGAGATGACGAGATAAATCGGAGCAATTAGGATCGTTCGTTTTTAAAGCTGCCGCGGAATGGATTTTCTCAGCGCTTTGGATTGATCGGGAATAGCATTTCGGATTCATTCGAATTATTTGCTTATCGTTCGCATTTTTGTTCGTTTTAGAATGGTTTAAACGCTTTACACTTAGCATCGAAAGATGGTCACGTCGAAATAGTGACGGAATTGTTGAAAAGAGGCGCTGAGGTTGATGCAGCTACGAAAAAAGGAAACACCGCGTTGCACATAGCTTCCCTAGGTAAGTGTCTCGTGTAATATTTTCCGTTGATATCGATAGCAGTGTCTCATTGTGATCATTTTCCAGCTGGCCAAGAGGAAATAGTTAATATTCTTATTCAGTATGGAGCCGCAGTTAATATTCAAACGCAGAATGGTTTCACGCCTTTGTACATGGCCGCCCAAGAGAATCACGATCAAGTCGTTAAATTATTGCTGAGCAATGGAGCTAATCAGAGCCTCGCGACGGAGGTAAACATTTAATTCTCTGGACTCGAAAGATTTTCACTAGGAATATTCAATATTTTCTGATGAGATATGTCTATTGAAATTTTCAAAATAATTCACACGTAAATCGACAATCAAAACAATTCGATTTCAATATTTCCTATTCTATTGCATTATAAAGTTTAATATTAAATATTAAATAAATATAGAAGAAATGCAAAATACGTAACATCAAACATTGAATATTAAATATTTAAAAAATATCAAAAACATTTAATATTTAATATGAACCCTTTGCACTCGGAAGTTTCTCAATGGAAATATTCAACATTTTCTTAATTCAATTTAACGGTGATTCATAGATGAATTAAGCGACAAAGGTGTTTTATTTACATATTTCACGTAGCAATGCGAAGTTCCATTTGAAATATTAAATGTTCAACTTCATAGTTTTGCTGTATCGAATCAAGTGGTGACCGAACGAATTTCTTTAGTCAAAAATGTTGATAGGAATATTCGAAATGAAACTATAATGATTTTCCAGGATGGCTTCACGCCCCTCGCTGTCGCGATGCAGCAGGGGCACGACAAAGTTGTCAGCGTGCTCCTGGAAAATGATTCCAAAGGGAAAGTCAGGCTACCAGCACTGCACATCGCTGCTAAGAAAGACGACTGCAAAGCCGCAGATTTATTGCTACAGGTAACGATCGATGAACCGAATCGGCTCACAATCCGCACCGTCGCCCAAGAATTATCCGCATTTCCGTTTGACGAAACCATCCATTTCAGAACGACCATAAACCCGACGTCACTTCCAAAAGTGGTTTCACACCGTTACATATCGCCGCCCATTACGGGAACGAGGAGATAGCTCGTTTATTAATCAAACGTGGCGCCGATGTGAATTATCTAGCAAAGGTACTATGAATTTTCTATTTCTACCAGTCCGCAGTGAAATATAGATCCTGATCAGATTGCGGTGAACCAAATGTCACCATAAAGAAACGAATCGATTAACCCATTTTATCCTACACGCAATTCTTTCGCGAGAAATCTTGAAGATTATGGTGTTTTCTTACTAGAAACATCTTCAAGGAATAATACATTTAGGCCTTTTATTTTATTTATAGATAAATATCATTATATAATATTCTTAAATTGATTAATATATTCTAATATAATATTATATTATTATTAATTATGATTCTATAATATTATTATCATAAACATATAGTTATTTAATTAAATACCCACGTCAAAGAAACCACTACCAGTAAAATCAAGCGAAACGGTTCAAGTAACGCACTCTCTGTTTTCTTTTACAGCACAATATAAGCCCGTTACATGTCGCAGCGAAATGGGGTAAAAACAATATGGTTAAAGTATTATTAGAAAATTCTGCACAAATCGATGCTAAAACTAGGGACGGTTTAACGCCGCTTCACTGTGCTGCTAGATCTGGACACGAACAAGTGATTACCACACTTCTCGAACACTCCGCGCCTATCAGCGCGCGAACGAAAGTACGTGAAACGCTAATTTCCATGATTTACGATGTTAATATTGTCGTCATCTTTGTTTATCTCGATTCTATACACATCTTGATTATTACAAAACGCATTATATTATACATTTGACGTACATTACATCGTGCATTGATTATATCGTGCACCTCGAATGAACGAAACGCATTATTTCCCATAGAATGGACTTGCGCCATTACACATGGCATCGCAAGGTGATCACGTGGATGCAGCAAGAGTATTATTGTATCATCGAGCACCGGTGGACGAAGTGACAATCGATTATTTAACGTCTCTTCATGTCGCCGCGCATTGCGGGCACGTCAGAGTCGCTAAATTGCTACTCGATCGAAAAGCCGATCCGAATGCACGCGCGTTGAACGGTTTCACGCCG